TCCAGAGGTCCTGAGTTCAATTCCCAGCAACCACATGGTGGCTCACAACCATCTGTAATGAGATCTGGCGCCCTTTTCTGTATACATAATAAATAAATAAATCTTAAAAAAAAAAAGAATAACTTATTGAAACTGATAAGATGATGATTATGCTTAGAAGTTTCTAAGAAACACATCTCTGCTCGGGTCAGTGAGAAAGTTTCTACAAAGTTTAGTTAGGAGGGAAGATCCACCCTGATGTCTTCCCCCCATGATCTGGAGTCCTGGGCTGAATAAACAGGGGAAGGAACCAGGAAACTAGCATTCTCTGCTGTCAGCTTCCTTAATTTGCACACAGTCGGACCTGTCACCTCCCACTCCATCCTTCATAACTAGAGGTCCTCTGCCCACCACTCCATCCCTGCTGTGAAGGACTCTGCCCTGAGGATGTTGTCATAGCAACCAGAAATGTAAAAATTGCTGTATGTCAGAGGGCAACAAGTACAACTAAGCTGTAAACATGGGATAGACATTGATTGGCTTTGGGGGGCTGGAGTGATTCATAGGGGTCGAACCCAGGTCATCTACGTTACACCCTCAGCAAACACTTTCATATTTTGTTTACTTATTTAAGACAAGATTTAGGGTGTAGTTTAGACAAGGCCACCTTATATAGCCTCTTATCAAGCTCTTAATTCTACCTGCATTTCCTCCTAGGGCTATAGGCATGTGTCATCAAACCCTGCTGAAACTGATTTAAAAACAGTTAGATTCATCTGTTTCATTTCATGTATATGAGTGTTTTCCTTGCATGCATGTTTGTGTGCCGCTTGTGTGTGTGGTTCCTGCAGAGGTCAGAAGAGGTCATTATATCTCATGTAACTGAAATTGCAGATAGTTTTGAAGGACCATGTGAGTCTGGGAAATGAACCTGGGTTTTCTATAGGAGCAATAAGGGTTCTTAACCACTGACCAATCTCTCTATCCCACTAAACTCACTGATTTTTAAAGACTCCCCCTCCCAATTTCTGTTCCTGGTGGGGCTTGTGTATACTGCTGGTATCAGATTTTGCTCTCTATGAAAGCACGAGATAGTAATTTTATGATTGACCTATAATTTCGTTCTTTGGAAAATGAGAATTAGATTTTATTATCACAAGCTAAGCCTATTGGCACACAACTGTAATCTCAACACTTGGGAATTGAGACAAAAGGATCATGAGTTCCTTCTCATCCTCTGTGTCCTACTGACTTCAAGACCAGCCTGGGCTACACAAGAACTCCCTCAAAAACAAAACAAAACAAAACAAAATTGTTTTTTTTCTTTTCATTTATTATATTACGGCTTAGTCTGAGTCAGTCTGAAAACAAACTTTGAAGACAATAATTTTTGTTTTTTCCACCTCTTTTGTGATGTGATCCCAAAGCCTTGGAACAGATTGATACTGAGGCCTGCTCGTTTTCTTCAGGATTTACCTGAGCATTGGGCCACTGTGCCATAACAATAGTCACTTATACTCAGGACTTGAAGCAGTTGTGAGTCTTTGCAGTATGCACAACCGTTGTAAGGGAAGAAAATGTCTTTATGAGACTGACAGGAATGGTAATCCATAAAGACACATATTTAGAAGGCAGTTTGGTTGGCAAATCACATCTGCGTTTCAAAACTGTAATAGGTGCTTCCCACCATTGGCCCTGGCACTTCTGCAACCATGGCCTTTGCCTTGGCTTTCAGTATCAGACAGAAGCTCCCTCCCAGGGAGGTGTGGGGTTGGGGTCAGGTGATATGACCTTAAATCCAATTGGAGAATGAGTAAACCCAGTATAGTCATGCCCTTATCACAGCAGAGGGCATATTTTTGTTCTCTGTGTAACTGGAAGTACAATAGTTGGCTTTGATTTTTGTTTCTATGTCTTATTTTACATTTAATGTTGCTTCACCTGTTCTGAGTGATACTGGGATTGAGTACATAGGGTTCTCACTAAGGAAACCCACAGATACAATAGGGATAAAATATGCCTTCCTTAGGCCAATGGTGGTGGCACACACTTTTAATCCCTGAACACAGATGGCAGAGGCAGGCACATCTCTGAGTTTGAGACCAGCTTGGTCTACACAGTGAGTTCCAGGACAGACCTACACAGAGAAACCCTGTCTCAACAAACAAACTAACTAACAAAACACCTGTTCCTGTCAGTCTGTCCCACTCCCCGACACCCATGGCCTCACACACCCCACGATACCACCCTCCGACCCCACCACTGAGAGCACAGCCAGTGAGCTGCAGTAAGAATTTACTCACAGCCTTATGCTAAGCAGGTGTCTTAGTTGGAGTTTCTATTGCTGCATTGACATACCATGACCAAAAAGCAAGTTCTGAAGAAAAGGGTTTATTTGGCTTACATTTCCACAGTGTAGTCAGCATTGAAGGAAGCCTGGAAAAGAACTCAAACAGTGCAGGAACCAGGATGCAGGAGCTGATGCAGATGCTGGGCTCTCCCATATCAATCACTGGTTTAGACAATGTCCTGGGTAGCAGAGCCTGAAAGGTGGCTCCACCCCTTGCCAGCTGTGGCACTCAGGTGAGCGGGCCCTATAGCTCTCAAGGGCAGTGCTGGAGAGCTGGCCCTGGTACACAGGTGCAGGAGAGTGGGTGGGCTGACCATCTCAGCTACCACCCAGTCCCAGGTTCAGGGTTTCGAGTTGGCTCACCCCAGCATCAACCCCAGCCATGAACTGCTGGCATATGTTAGGGGCTGATTTTTTGAAGCATAGTTGCAGGACATCTGTGACACAGGACTACAATAAAGAGGATGTCTGAAAGGGGTGCAGAGGAGGATCCAGCATTGATAGTGTAGTAGAAGCCAGAACCCTTGAACCCCAACAATAACTCATTGCAATAAACATTTGTCAGTAAAGATATCTGAGCAAAAGATTATACTGTGTGACACACCACAGCTCCCATGGCAAGATTTATTTTTTAATTTTTATTTAGATTTTTGGGGTTTTTTTATTAATTTATTTATTGGTTGTTGTTGTTGTTTTCTTTTGCAAAGAAGGTTGCAAAGGCAGTGAGCAGTTGGGGAGAGATAGAAAGATGATGTGAATTGGGGTGTAATTTCCAAATAACTAATAAAAAGTTAAACAAGAAAAAAACAGAAGAAGAAAGAAAATGTCCTGCAGACCTGGCTAAAGCCTGAACTATGAAGGCCTTTTCTTTTCTCAACTGAAGTCCACAGCAAGGAATGGTTCATTGACAGCAGACCTCTACTGAAGAATCCTCACCAGTTAGACAGCTTCAGGGACAGGCAGGCTTAACCCACTTGTGGCCATGAAATGCTTCAGCTGTGACAGGCCAGAAGGATGGCATTGTTGAAGGCTCCAGGTGTTCCTTGAGAGCATCAGCTAATACATGACCAGTCAGTGGGCATGTGTGAACTCATTCACCAATTGTGCTAGAGCTTGGTTGGCCATCCATCATGATCTTGACCCATTCCTCTGTAGTAAACCTCTTCACACAGCTGTCTTCCACGTGCCAGGAATCGGGCTCTGCAGAGAACACAGCACAGCAGAATCTCTCCACTCTGAGTGCACAGACATAGGAACACACAGCTCCAGATCTGTGGACTGGGATGAATTTGCATGTGTACTTTATCTTCTCCTGCTCCTCACAGAAGTGAGTGACAGGCAGCTGTTGGATGCATTTGTCTATTTCACTCTCTAGATGTTCAAGATCGCTCCTCTCTGCTTCAAAACCAATGATTTGCTGTTCGTTCCCATCCAAACCAATGAACAAATATCCCCCATCAGTGTTGGCAAATGCAGAAACATGTCGAGGGATGAGCTCTTTAATGCGCTTCTGCAGCTGTTTCCCGGAAAGCAATGTAACTTCAACAAAGGTGGATCTGGAGAAGGGGAAGTCTTCCTGGTGCTGAAATTGT